AGTGCTGAGATAAGAGTTGATTCTCCAGCTCCGCAATCCCTGCTTTACACTGGGGTCCTGGGACTGCTGTACCTGCTCTCCAGTGGAGAACAACTGCTTGTGGTCAGGAGGATGTGGCTGAGTCGGCGAACTCTGACAGGCATATGCGTGGCCTGCAGCAGGCCTCTTGTGGGTTTGTGGACCATAGCGTCCCCCTCCTGAGTACTGTTTTTCTGAATCACTTTTGAGGTCGTCAGTGGACAAAACATTCAGATTTCCTGGCGCTTCAAGTTCAGGAGGATATGCAGAATCAGGGTGTTGATCTGTCTGGTACATGCCGTAGTTAAGACGGTCATAGTGCCCGCGCTCAGAATCCGGTCCCATGCCTTCACTGTGATAGTAATGTTGTTCTCGCTGGTAATGCGATTCCATTTCCTCCAAGTTGTTCATTACACGCTGTTTCATATACTGCCGGGAGGAGGCGTAGGTCTCACGGGTGCCCTCGGCATAGCTATGCCTCTTAAAGGCATTCATTTCCAGCTGCCTGGAGGCTAACATTGAGCGTCCTGGTTCCAAGAATGACTGTTGCATCTTGAACTGCTGTGTTGCATATTTTGTGACCTGCATAGGACCTGCACCTGGTTCAAGTGTATGGCGGAACGGGTCCTCCCTCCGAAAAGGTAGTATGGATTCAAGACGATCCCCAAATGGGTAACCAGTAAGTTCAGGCTGGCGAAGATATCCTCTGGGATTCCTTAGTGACTGAGTCCTTTTTAAGCTAAACTGATTGCCAAGGTAACTACTTGTATTGTCTTGTGGCATGGGTACAAGGGCATTTTCAACAACAAGAGGCTGAGACTGAGCAAACAAGATACGAAACTCCTCATCAAATGTGGCAACTAGTTCTCCAAGGAACAAATGGGCAATGCAACGGTGGATCTTCTCAAAAGACCACATGAAACTGGAGAAAGAGAGAAAGAAATATGAATAGTGTCATCTGTGCCACATACAAGTGGGCATGCATTAGAGTTGAATTCTTATCTGCCACTGAGCTCACCTATAGTTTCCACTGATCACTGCTCTGCAGTCTGTCAGAAGAAAACGGTCCATCACTTGACCTTTAAATGATTTTCCTGTGCGGCAGAAATAGGTAATGCCTGCCACTGTCCGTACCCGCATCATCTGTAACCAGTGAAGTCACCATTAAATCTGCATTTTCTTAAAATTCTAACTTAGGCTAGTTGAGGTAAATTGAACTTACATGAATCATATCCAGATTAACTTTACAGCTTGCCACCATGTTAACAAAATGATGGGCATTTTGTTCATCCAGAAGAATATAGACAGGCACGTGACGTGCTGTAGCATCCAAAAGGTCAGAGAATATATCAATATCTGTGAAAATATCCATTACCACTGCAATTACCTGTGAGAAAGAGGAAATAAACATGAAATTAGCAATAAAGATTTTACATAACATGCAATTATGGCAACAAAAAGGATCAGTAATTTTTTTTTATTTTGCAGTGACCAATATCACAGTTGTTTTGGACAGTACCCTCACTCACATGTTTTCATTTATTGAGGCCATTGCAAAAATGCCCTATTCGTTTATTCCATGCGCAATAACAGGGGTTACTGACATAAAATGAGTAGAATTTGGCTGGTCTTAATTTCATGTAAGTGTACATCATGTTAAACATATCTAAAATAAAATGTTAAAGTAAAATATTTTTACTGATGAAAATGATTACTGAGTGGACCTTTCATATTCTTGATTCCAGCCTGACATCATTTACAAATTTGAAAGCACTTACCTGATGAGCATTTTTGATGAGTTGCCGGGCCTGTTCCTTAATGCTTGACCGCTCAGGGTCAGCAGGGTTTACCAACATTGTGACCTCTGTGGGCCCCCCAAAACTATGATGCTGCAGAGGCCAGCCAAGGTCTAGTCCTGGTGCATCCAAATCAGAATGCAGTGGCCAGTAGGTGTCAGAAGACCCATCCTGATCTATTTCTCGATATGGCAGTTCTGGTACATTTCCAGCACTCTGTGGTGATTGCACAGTGCTTTTAATATGTTCAATCTCTGACCTTGATAAAAAGTCAACTACATTGGCACTTTGTAAAAAGTTGTAATATCCCTCAACATCCTCCTCCACCAGGGCATCAATAGCCATGCGATACTCTTCTCGGTAATGCGGACACAAGTAATTGGGATCCAGGGGGTTGTCGCCCAATGAAGAACTTTGTGAACGGCGGGCCATGGTGGAGCAGGGAAAACAACCTGAAAAACAAAATATTTCAATAAATAAGCATATGGAATAATCTAAAGAGCATATGTAAACTAAAATTTAGGGTCACACTTTATTTTAAG